ATTTGGGAGCAGTGAGTTCTCCAAAGGAGAACTGCCTTCCTATCCAGCTATGGATCTTTGCAAATTAGTTTAGTTTGCTTAAAAATACAGGCCTGCAAAAGTCACCCCTATCCAAGGCAGCTGGCGAATTCCATCACTGAATTTGGAGGGAGGCTTAACAGAAGCACCTCTTCCCAAGTTTTGTGTGACAAGCTCCAATCGCTAAACTTCTGCCCATCTGCAAAATACACTGGTGCGCTGGCATTTTTGCGCTTGGGCATCCCAGCACTGGAAAGGAGACTCTAGCTGGTGACAAGTGGTTGTTTATTTTGGAGGGCTGAGGGTGCTTTGAAAGAGAGAGCTGCTTTCTGGAATCAAGTGGGGAAACAGGAAAACAGAGTTGGGCTAGTTAAGGAACTCGTGTGAAACATTAACTGCTCCGGCCTATTCTTGGAAGAAAAACGATACCTGCCTCCCTTATGTACCTTCCAGAGCTCCTGCTCTGCCTTGCGGGCAAGAGCAGTCATGCCCTGGTGGACTCAGGTTGAAAGAGCTGTGATATCGCTAAAAACAAAAAACATGCTATTCCGGAGACTAGGAGAAATGAGGGCATCAAGGCTGAAGCCACACTGGCGAAACCGAATATGCGGAGACAGGAACCTGGTGGGACTCCTGGTCCATTTCGCTGTGCATGCTTGGCACTGACAGGCAGCACAGCTCCAGAGTTCAGGCAGGAATTTCTCCAGCCCCACCTGGAGGTCCTGGGGATTTTGCCGGTGGCCTTTGGCATAGAATCATAGACCCATGGAAAAGTAGAGTTGGAAGGGGCCATGAAGCCATCGAGTCCAAGCCCCTGCTGCTGCAGGACACCAAGTCACACCATCCCACTCAGATGGCCCTCCAGCCTCTTTCTGAATGCCCCCAGTGTGGGCTGGACCCACTGCCGTCTTGCTCTGACAGTGAGGAAGCTTCTCCTGATGCCCAGCCTGAATCTGGGTCATTGCAGCTTGACTTGATTATTCCGTGTCCTACACTCTGGCATCAGCACGAAGAGATCTTGACCCTCCTCTCTGTGACAGCCTCTGAGGTCCTTATGGAGGGATCTCATGTCCCCCCTCAGTCTTCTCTTCTCAAGGCTGGCATGCCCAGTTCTCCCAATGTCTCCTCACAGGGCAGTGTTTCCAAACCCTGGCTCATTTTCATTGCCCTCCGCTGGCCAATGTCTAATCTCAGGCTGCAGGTCAACCCCAGGATCGCAGCAGCAGCAGGCCCAGCCTCGGCGTCCTTATCTTGCCCGTCTTGGCCATCCCCCCCCCCCCCCTTTCCACCCACTGCCCCCAGCCATGGGGTTGCAATACAGCCCATGGCCGCTGCAATGTCTTCGTACAGCTTCGCTGGCCAAAGAGCCCCATGCTGATGCTCAGGGTCAGGCACGGAGGATGGGAGTTGCGGTCCAGAAGCCTGCCGGGCAGGGATGCTGCCCACCAGAGCAGGCCGTTATGGGCCTGATGAGCCCAGAAGGCGCATCTCCAGCGCGACGCAGAGCCAGTTCCAGAGACAGGTGCCCCGCCTGCAGCCTGAACAGCTTATGGGGTTCCCACGGTGTTTGGCACCCCGGAGAGCGCCTTTGGCCAGGGGGTCCCCTGGCCCACTGACCTCGAGCCGACGCAGGCTCAGGCAGCCGCCAGTCGGCAGGACGGGTCCCGATCCCCTGCCATGGCCAGGGGCCTTTCCTCCTCCCCCCAGAGAAGCAATCTGCCCCTGCCCCTCTCTGCCTTTGCCCCTCCGTCTCTCCTTCGGTGTCACTCCCTAGATTAGCGGTGGACACGGGAGGCAGCTGAGGGCCCCGTCTTCACCTCTGTAAGCCGAGACACATTCGCTTCGTTTGCACCACCGAGATCTCAGGGGGGGATTAGAGGGTGTTGGTTAATCTCTCGGGAGGAGCCACTAATCCCGCCGCGCACCCACGAGGCGGACGAGGAGGGAACAAATCTGCAGCGCTTCGTCCGCCTCTAGAGCGGCCACCGTCTCCAGAGCGGGAGCCGCGTTAGTCTCACTGCAGCGAGCCGGGGAAGAGGCCTGGGGCATCCCGGTGGCTAAACATGCATTCGGGCAAAAGTTTCCATGGGCTGCAGCATGGAAAATCATATTCCATGAAATAATATCCCTCTGATGCATGGAAAATAGTATTCCATGAAATGCCCTGTGTCAGATGAAGCGGGCTATAATTCATGTATTGGAGGCACACTTTCTTGAAATTCCACTGGCCTTTGAAACACCTCTTTGACGCAAAGGTAGAGACCCCTGCCGACCTTCCAGCTGGTGATGACACTAACTCCCATTATCCCCAGCCACTGGCCCGGCTGACTGGGGCTGATGGGAGTTGGAGTCCCAAGACTCTGCTGCAGCAGAGTCCCCTTTCTCCTCCCCTTGTACTTATTATTGTTAAGTTAACCAACTTAATTAAACAATTGCTTAATTAATTGGCTGATTTAATTGACTGATTGTACTTAATGCGTTTTAATATCTCTAGCTGCTTAGAGAGTCCAGTCAGGTTATTCAGCAGTGTATAAATTTGAAAATAAATAAACAGACATCTAGGGAGTGATGGCAGAAGGAGCATCCAGCCCTCATCCCCCCCACCCCAAAAATATACCTCCACTCTCTAAAACACCTTGCTTTTGGGCTGCAATAATAATAATAATAATTAGGGTGACTAGTGGAGAAATAAAAGATGAGTTTGCAGGAAGTGCTTCTCCCCTTTAAATGATTTATACGGTAACGACAGTTTGCAGCTTCCACATTTTCCCCACCTGAGTGACCTCCGAATGGGCACAAGTTTTCCCCAGCTTTGACCCAATGCTTTGTTTTGTTTTTAATGTGTGTTTCTCTCAGCATTTTTCCAAGAACACTCAGAAAATCACTGCCCGTTTCCACCCCAGAGTCCAAGGGCCGTGGGGAGAAGGAGGGCTGGCGGGCTGGCAGAGCAAGCTTTGCCGTTAACCGGTTTGGGGCTTCTTCTGGGATCCGTGGGGCTGCTATTCCCTATGTCTCCCGCTCGAGTGGACTGGGCCAGGGGGAACAGTGACTCAAAAGATCTGGCCTTCTGCAGGCACAAAGCCCAGGTTATCTCTGAGGGCCACTTTCAGTCTGAACTACTGGCAGGGTTGACGCATGAAGAATTTTTAATTGCTGTGCACAGTGACAAGGGGTGCAAAAGTTAATATGAAACAGTACATGATGTATGCACAAGTCAACAACCTCTGGGGAACTTAATGTGGAAGACAGAAGCGCAAGAGATAACTACTTGGTGCACCTGCAACTGTTCAGTTTTGGGCCCATCGTTACAGGGAGGATGTAGCCAGGGTAGAATCAGTGCAGTGAAGGGCCACAAGGTTGGTGGCTGGTTTGCAGGGGATGCCGTATGAGGCGAGGCTGAGGGAGTTGGGTCTCTTCAGCCTGGAGAAGAGGAGACTCAGAGGGGATCTGTTGGCGACATGCAGGTATGTGAGGGGGTGTCACACGGAGGTGGGTAGAGACCTGTTCTCCCCTTCAGAGGAGGGCAGGATGTGCTCCAACGGAGCAAAGCTCAGAGAACCAAGGTTTCGTTTGGATGCCAGGAAGCACTTCCTGACAGTCAGGACCCTGAGGGTGTGGAACGGGCTTCTCGGGAGGCAGTTGAGGCCCCATCGGTGCGGGTGTTCAAGGACAGGCTGGACATGCACATGGTGGGCATGTCATGAGTGGAGCCGGTTGGAGCCGGGGGTCAGACTAGATGGCCCGGGAGACCCCTTCTTACTCGCTCTGTTTCTATTTACTTTTTTCGTTAAGGTTTGAACCTTAAAGGGTTCTCATCCGATCCCCATGAAACACAGTCGAATTTGCTTCCAATGCCGTTCTTTGTTGGTACAACTGGGCCTCTTTTCATATTTCCCTGAAAATGTGAACTTTTCCTAAAGAACATTTCCGTGAAATTCTCCTCCAGCTTGCCCGAAAAGCTCTTTAGCATTTCAGATTGACTTGCTGCAGACACTTCCGGGTAGTAAAATTTGGTTGGGAGTCGCCACCTTTTGGCCCAGTTAAGTACAGCAGGCTAAAATCCTTGCAGGGGTACCCAGCCTTTTTGGACCCAGGGAGGGGGAAATAGTAAGGTGAAAGGGGAGGAGGAGAGAAAGAGCAAGCCTAGAAGGTGGGGGGGAGTGGGGAAACCAGCAAGAAGAGCAGAAGAGCGAGAGCAAGGCTAGGTGTAGGAAGGGAGAGAATGGGCGTCTGGGGATGCAGAAATGAAGACGCACTGAGGCTAATTTTTGCAGTGTCGGGGCGAGAAAGCACAAAGGGGGAAGATCTGTCTGGAGGGAAGAATTCAGGTGAGGCCAGGAAAGAACCTGCTCCTCTTGCTGCCCGTTGAACCAACTGCTGGTCAGCAGCAAGTTTAGGAAAAGAAAGGTCACCTTTTCAAGATTTTTTTCAAAAAGAGAAATACATTTTGAAGAAGGCAAGGAGAGGAGGGCTTTGCAGACACCAAGGGGAGACCCTGTGAGTTTCAGGGTGCTGCTCCGGAGAGTCCTGCCCTGGGGGGTGGTGAATGGTGAACCCCCTCCCAGAACAGCCTATGCATCACCATCTCTGCAGACAGCTGCCAACCGGAAGGAAGGCCGGGGGCTTCTGCTCACAGTTGGAAGCTGGGGGAACCCTCGGGAGACCCTTCTGGCTGCCCTCCCCACAGATCTCTTCCATAAAGGCACATGCCCATCCATCACTGGGTTTTTCCACATTCTGACTCTGGGGAAAAACAGGATTTTGTGAGTCACCGAATTATGGAACTGGCAACCTTTCAGGCTGGGCGGTACACGCAGCTCCAGGTGGCAAGATTAAAGACTGCACCTGTGCACATGTACATGGCGAAGGGATGCACAAGCCATGCTCACGGTGTGCAATGCGCTCTATTCAGTGGTAGGAAGGAAGGTCAAAGCGGTATGGGGGCCACGAAAGCCCCCCTGTCCCCCAGATCACACACTTACCGTGATGGGGAAATAGTTCCTCATGTATCTCCAGGTGACCCAGTTTCGGATCCACTGGCTTCTCCTCCCGCCTTTCCTTGGAGTCTCCCAGTCAAAGGCCCACCACATGGCATAAAGCGCACTGATCAGCCAGAAGCGGGTGAAGAGGAGGGCGATAAAGAGCACGGTGCAGCACTGAACTGTGGAAGGAAAGGGGACAGGGCAAGTCAGGCAATCGTGGGATCCTGGAAGAGTAGAGTTGGAAGGGGTCTGAAGGCCATCTAGTCCACCCCCGGCTGTTGCAGGACACCAGTCTGCACCCTCCCACTCAGATGGCTGCCCAGTTTCACCTTGGATGTTCCCAGTGTGGGAGAGCCCACAAATTCTCCAGGTAACAAGTTCCATTGTCAGACTTCTCCGACAGTGAGGAAGTTCTTCCTGGTGACTAGTCTGAATCTGGGTTCTTTTAAGTCCATTATTGCGTTTCCTGCACTCTGGAGTGGACGAGAAGAGATCTCGTCCTTCCTCTTTGTGACAGCCTTTCGGGTGCTGGCAGAGGGCTGTCCCATCGCCCCGCAGTCTTCTCTTCCTGAGGCTGAGCAGGCCCAGTTCTCCCAGTCTCGCCTCACTGGGCTTTGCCTCCAGTCCCTGAATCGGCCTTGCTGCCCCCCTCTACCCTTTCTAGCTCTTCCGCATCTTTTCCAAACCCAGGTGCCCAGAACTGGATACAGGCCTCCAGGGGAGGTCGGAAGTGCCGAGCAGAGTGGTATTAGCACTTCATGTGTTTTGGAAGGGATGCTCCTGCTAGTGCAGCCCAAAATCGCCTTTGCCCTTTTTGCAGCTGCGTCACGTGGTTTGCTCACACTGAGTTCTGCAACAACCCCAAGGTCCCTCTCCTTTGCAGCCTCGTTGAGCCAAGTGTGCCCCAACTTGCAACGGTGCATTTGGTTTCTGTGAAGGAAGCAACGTCCTCAAAGGAACGGCTTTTCTGGGGCTTGGCATGCAGGTGGCCTCTTCCTGCACGCCGTGCTCAGGTCAGAAAGAGTGGAGAAAATCAGTCTTTCTAGTTTTCTCCTAGCAACCCAGCCCGCTGAGCTTCGCTTCCTATGGAGGTAACGCTGCTCCAGGTGGAAGATTGCTGAGAACTTCCCTTAGATTTTAGGGTTTTCAAGTTTTTATAATTTTCTACTGATAAAACAAATGATCATTCAAAAGACATTGGACATCCTGGATTATTCTCTTTACAGTTAATGAATAGTTCAGCCCTAAGTGTAATCCTGCTTCTCTAGCCACTGATAAAAGAAGTCCCAAGTTTGGGAATAATATGAGAACTTCCCTTAGATATGATTGTATCTCACTGATTATGTGTTCATGGGGAAGAAGCCCCCGATGCGTGGGGGCGCTGGAACAGTGCAAGAGCGCATCCCAGCTTGCTCCAGCCAAATCCACCTGCTCCGCCCTGGCCATGAGAGTGGAAAAGGACCTTCCGTCAGCCTTAATGACAACTGACTCCTTATTTCTGCCCAGTGCAAGTTTCTGAGGGACCCGGTGTGAGTTCTCCCAACAGAGGGGCAGGAACGGTGGGGTCCCACAGAGCTCTGTGCAATAGAAATGATCCAGGGACCGGAGCAACTGCTCTGGGAGGAAAAGTGACGACATCTGAGGCGGCTTGGCTTAGAAAACAGGCGAGGAAGGGGAGGTTTGAGTGAGGGGTACGGAATTATGCCTGTGTGGAGAAAGTAGATCAGGTGACAGCTTTCTCCCTCTCCTGTAATACTAGAACCCAAAGGGGTCACCCCATGAAACGGACTGGTTGCGATACTTTATTTGTATTGTATGTTATTGTGTTGTTCTATATCTTGTTGTAAACCAGAAAGCTTTGGCTGCGCAAGAGGTATGAAACGAAATCCATCATAATAATGGCCTACCTCATAGGGTTGTTAGGAGGGCCAAACATATCGAGACTGCAAATTTTCGACATTACAAGCCTCAGCGTGGGTGTAACTCCTCACATTACCTTGTTAAAAAAGGTGGATGACTAATGGGAAAAGGTAGAACACAGAGGACCAAACCTGCAGAGTCACTCAGTCCGTTCATCTCGCCCAGGATTCTCCTCTGCCAGCAGTTCCAAGACCAAGACAAGCCTCTCCTGGCCTTGCGCTTCCTGCGTGCCAATGCTCCTCGCCTGACAGCGGCACGCCATCAATCAGCCAAGCGTCCTCTGAAGAACGGGCTGGTGGCTGCCGGCGACTGACACCCGTCACCTGTCCTGTGGGGCGAATTGCTTTGGGCACAGCCCCAAAGTGGCTTTTGCTGATCATCCTGTGCTTTTCAGCCACCCTGCAACCGAGCCTGAAAAGCACGCTGCTCGGTGGATGAACGAGGGGGCATCTGATCTTCGGCAGCACAAACGTTTCTATCCTGCAAAGCTTGGGGGCCCCAGTGGCCGTGGGGTGGGGTGTCCCCTCCGAGCCCCAGACTGAACGTCCAAGGGGCCATCAGAGGTGCTGCTCCTCACATGGGGCAGCGGAGGTGGCAGTGATGGTGGGGGCGATGTGCAGTCCAGCCACCCCGACTGAGGTTGTCCCCGTGAGTGAAAGCCACCCCAAAAGCCCTCTCCTTGACAATGATGCTCAGGCCTTGATGGAATCAAGCCATCTCACTCTTGGCCTACCCTTTAACCATCAGCCGTTGAAGAGTATTTATTTATTCATTCTATCTCATTCCCTACAAACGTCTCGGGATGGCTTACATTAAATAAGTAGAATAAAACAAACCCCTCAGCATCCTCCTATTAACATACTAAAACCCCAGTTAAAATCAATTAAACGTTTAAATAACGTGAAAATATTACAAGAGCCAGTGTGGTGCAGTGGTTAAGAGTGTAGGACTGGGACTCAGGCGATCTGGGTTCGAGTCCCCGCTCTGCCATGGAGCCAACTGGGTGACTTTGGGCCAGTCACAGACTCTCAGCCAACCTACCTCACAGGGTTGTTGTTGTGGGGATAAGATGGAGGAGGAGAATGATGCAAGCTGCCTTGAGCCCTTTGTCGGAAAAAGGCAGGATATAAATCGAATAAATGAATGAATGAAATGAATGAAATAGAAAGGGTTTTGCCTGACCCAGAAAAGAATACAATGTCAGTGCCAGGCAAACCTCTCTGGGGAGCATATTCCATAGTTGGGGTGCCACTGCAAGGAAGGCCCTCCTCTGGGTAGCCACCCTCCTAATCTCCTTCAAGGAGGGCTCCCAGAGCAGGACCTCCACCTCCGATCTCAAGGGGCGGAGGGCATACAGAGAAGGCCCCTTGCATGACGGTCTTCTCCAGCGAGTCTTGCCTTCTCACCATGGGCCTGAAAACAGCCCCCGATTCATCATTTTCGCTTCCAGGTCTGATTAAATCTAAGACCCATTTCTTCTTCCTCCTCCTCTTGGTTCATAATATTCACAAAGCTCTCCTCCAGCTCCATTTTTCAAACACAACCCTTCTGCTTGCGTCAGCTTTCTTCACTGTCTGGGTTTCACACCCGGGCAGAGTGACCAAGAATACAAGAGGAAGGCCCATCCTGGCCTGGGTCTCCAACGAAACGTCCCAGCACTTTCCGTTCCTTCACTGCTGCCCTTCCAAGCCTCCGTCTTCTTCCACTTTCTGGGCTGCAGCCACCATGTTTGCGGTTCAGCACCAAGGACAGCCCCTTCAGAGTTCAGACCGGTGGCCAGCATGGACGGGTGGCGTTGGCCCACGGACCATACAAACGGCCTCCACCACAGGTGCCCTGTTGCAGCTCACAATACTCCTGATGTCCTGGGGCTCCGGCCAGACGTGCTTCAGCTGCTTCCCGAAAGTCCTGTCCACCCCACCCTGCATGATCCTCGCCAGGAGGGGGCCAGGTTCCACGGCCCCGTCTCCGGCGTCCAGGGAGGAACCCTTGCAAAGCGGCCTTTGTCTCGGCCGAAAGGGGGCTTCTGGCACCCCACCCTTTGCACAAGCTGTTGCTCTTTTCCTGGGCAGCTGCCTGAGGAGGCCGGTCCCCCTTCGAAAGGGGCCGCGGAGAAGCCTGAGGGCAGAGCTGGCGGCCAGCGGCTGCCCCGGCTGTGCGTGCCACATTGTCTCGCAGCTGCCTGCCTGCCGACCGACCGACTGGGAGCAAGCAAGGCGGGTCCTCGCCTCGTCTGGCCAGGAGAGGCCGTGGCTTCGCACGCATAACCATGGCAACCTCAGAGCACAGCAGCAGTGCGGAGCGGCTGCCACATGGAGCCCGTCTGCTGTTGGCCGCAAGGGCTGGCACAGCCACGGAGAGCGTCGGTCGCAGCATCCACACCCATGGAGGGATGCTGCGGTGCCCAGAGCAGGGAGGGGACCGGCGGAAGCCCCCAGGGATGAGGAAGAGCGCCTCCACACAGCGCTGCCTTCCCTTCGGCTAAGAAGGCCCCCCTGGACTAGCGCCCCAGAGGAGGAAAAGCATCCCGAAGAGAGGACGGAAGGCTGTCCCGGTGTGCGTCAGTGTGGCATGTCTTGCTTTGTGCGCAATGGAGCATCAGTGTCTACCCTCTCCAGGCTTTAGTCCGCACTTCAGCAGCACCTGCCAGTGGTGCTCAGCCCCACCCCCACCCGAGGCTTGACCCCGTAGCCAGCTCCTGAAATAGCCAGACTGGCCCTGGTGTGATGGCTCTGGGGTCACCAGCTTTCGTTTTATTTTTGTTGTTCAGTTGCAAAGTCGTGTCCGACCCATCGCGACCCCATGGACCACACTCCTCCAGGCCTTCCTGTCCTCCACCATCCCCCGGAGTCCACCTGAGCCCACGCCGACTGCCCCAGTGACCCCATCCAGCCACCTCATCCTCTGCCTCCCCTCCTTCTTCTGCCATCTATTGTTCCCAGCATCAGGCTCTTCTCCAGGGAGTCCTTCCTTCTCATGAGGTGGCCAAAGTATTTGAGTTTCATCTTCAGGATCTGGCCTTCTAAAGAGCAGTCAGGCTGATCTCCTCTAGGACTGACCAGTTTGATCACCTTGAGGCCAAGGAACTCGCAGGAGTCTCCTCCAGCACCACAATTCAAAGGCCTCAATCCTTCGGAGCTCAGCCTTCCTTATGGTCCAATTTACAGCCATAAATCCCAGCTGGGAAAATGCAATTGCAAAATAATTACTATTCTTGGAATGGAAAGACAATCCAGTTCATCACAGCGAAGATCTTGCT